AGTTGCAGTTTGATAGTCTAACTTACTGGTAAGGACTTGAGTTCCTGTCTTGTGGACTCAGTACGTGGAATAAATAGTGTCAGACAAATTGCGATGCAGTTGCAATTTCGAATGAAAAATTGGTCTTGTCTGTACCCCCAGGTACTTCGTCCTGCATGCTTTATGTGTAGGTGCCACCTGCTGTTTCAATCAACTGAAAAAGACAAAGATTTAAAATATAGGTTGTTAACCAAAAGTCTCCTCGTACTTGCAAAGTGTTAGCAACCATAACTGGAGTATAAGATTTAGTGGATATGCTTGTTGTGGGTTAGGCCGCTCGGACAACCAAACTGCCCCCCCAGTCGTTGACTCACCCTCCCCCAGCCCCAGGGATGAAGGAGAGAATTAAAGGATAAATGGGATACTCGTGGGTTGAGATAAGAACAATTTAATACAGATGATTTAATACACAGTGTAGATGCTCACCACCCCCTCGTATGCGAAGCCCGTCTCGTCCCGAAGCTGCAATCCTGGACGAACGCGAGGCCCCGAAATAGAGAGGGGCAGAGAGAGAGAGAGAGAGAGAGTACTCTGAGAGTGGGAGTACTGGGAGAGAGAGAAAAAGAAAGAAAAACAATAGAGCAACAGCGCAGCAAGCGCAAAAGAGCAAAAGTGGCGAAAGAGCCAAAGCGCCAAACCCCTTCTGACTGGTTGACCCTCACTTTTATACTGGGCATGACGCTGCATGATATGGAATACTAATTGGCCAGTTTGGCCCTCAATCTTAAGTTCCACCACAAATCACAAGGGGAATCGTGTCCCCCTTGTCCTAACTATGCTCCCCCCTTATGCCACTGTGCTCCTGCACTCTGGCACACTGAAAAGTCCTTGGAGTTTCACATCCAACCACAAACATCGACTTGCTGTCAGCATTCTTCTCAGAGCGAGCCTCTGAGTAAAACCAAAACACGGAGCTCTTCTAGCTGCTAAAAAGAAGAGCTAACTGTCCCAGCTAAAACCAGGACAATGCTTGTGTTCCTGTGATCGCTATTGTGTACAGGTTGGTCTGAGTCCAAATGATTTTAATTTTCAAAATGATCAAAGTAATCTTTGCAAGATAAATGATTCAGAGTCTTTCATTGTTCCTGTCTTTGCAAGTAATGCGGTGAAGAAGGCAAGTCGTCCTTTCCTTCTGCATAAGTATGAGAGTGTTTAAAAACATCAGTTAATTTTGGCACTTTGGAAGTTTTGGGTGGTGGTGATATAGTTGGCTTGCCTCTCACTTCAGCTGTTATTTGTTTTCCATGAACCAATGTATATAGTGGTGATGAATTTGCAGAAGGTCATTGTATCTTGTTTAAAGAGGCGATAGACATGTCACATTTAGATGTGTTTTGTATTCACTTTTCAATTTTAAACAAGCGGTGACTTTTTGGCAGTATTTTTAGTGTCTTTTCACCATAAATTAGAACTTGAAAACGGTCTTTGGAAGAGTGATAATATTGCCCCAATTTAAATTTAAAGATGTTAAATATTATACCAGTATGTTTTGACCTGAGGATTTTATTATCAGGGTGAAAGGCATGCCTCGCTGTGCAAACAGTCTTCAAGCAGCAAAATCTAATTCTTGCTTATGTTGACAAACAGTACAAAAGATTCATTTTGCATCCTTGGCATTTTTTTGCATTCTTGGCATTTTGTATGATCAAAATGCCAAATTACTCTAAAATGTGAATCTATCATGCAGTCTTCAAAGACAAAAACAAGTTACACAAAATAAAAGAACTTCCATATATGGACTGAAAATACCAATCTTTGCCTTTCCTCTGCAAAAACAACAACAAATCTACAAGTTAATAAATCTTCCATGCTTCCTAGGTAGAACATTTGTTACCTCTTTAGTTTGCCTGCTTTTGTTATGAAAACCAGCCACAGAGGGCAGAGCTACTGACAGTGGTAATGACGTGACTTCTCCAGTTTCTACTCTTTTCCTAAATTAAAAAAAAAAAAGGTACCAATTCCCAAACATTTCCAGTCAGTGCCTCTGACCATTCAGAAAAGACAGAATGAGTTGTACAGTTCCTGAATCAACATGTATCATATAAATGTTTCAGCTTAAATTTCATTTGTCTTGGATAAATGTCTGCAATCACAGAGTGGTTTGGGTTGGAAGGGACCTCAAAGATAATCTAGTTACAACCCCCCTGCCATGGGCAGGGAAACCCTCCACTACACCAGGTTGCTCAATGCCTCATCTAACCTGGCCTTGAACACTTCCAGGGATGGGGCATCTACAACTTCTCTGAGCAACCCGTTCCAGTGCCTCACCACCCTCAGAGTGAAAAATTTCTTCCCTATATCCAATCTAAATCTATCCTCTTTCAGTTTAAATCCATTGCCCCTTGTCTTTTCATTATACACCTTTGTAAAAAGTCCCCCTCCAGCTTTCCTGTAGGCCCCTTTTAAGTACCGGAAGAGTAAATAAAAAAGAAATAAAAATAAAATAGAAAAAAAAGAATAAAAAATAGGAAAAAAAAAGAAATAAAAATAGAGGATAGAGAGTTTTTAATTTACTTGCTTTCCCTGGGGATTTTTGAAACAAGTGTTTGTGACCCATAGGAATTATCTATTGGTGCATTACGTGATCAACAGTCTTCAATATGTAAACATATTAGTAAAACACTGCAAAACTTTAAGTAGAAATATTGATGCTATCAAAAAGCATTGTTTTTTATTCTTATAAATTCTTATAGAGACTTTTCAAAATAACATTTCAGAAAAAAATTGTTGACAGTGATAGAAAGATCTCTACGGCAAGAAATTAGCAGAAGATTCCTTAAGATTGCCATGCATTCCTCCTCCAGAATTTGTCACAGCTGCATAAACCCGTGAATCAAACTGGAGAATTTAGGTGCAGTTTTATGACAACAGTTTCATTTTCAGTGCTTTTGCTATGATTTCTTGCCTTAGTAGGGAAGTTGTATGGGAGATGATGTAGAACTTGCAAGAGCTGCCAATGTTGGTGTCCTAGGGCTGGCTAGAAGATTGCCTAGCCAGTGGCGTGCAGCATGTATCTGCTAGCTGTTCCCCCCTTTCTCGCCACGCTCATTCTGACAGTCTTAGAAATCTTTGGAATTCCGACCTCCTGTTCTCTGCCTCTCACTTCAGTTTGATAATTGATTTTTTTTTTTTTCTCTTGACTTGCCTGAAATGGCTTTTTTGTATCTCTTATCTTTGGATTAATTACAGCTGATACTCAGGCAAAACAACAAAGTCCTGACCTGTATGCTTTATACAGGAGTACTGAGGACAGGAAGGCAGAACAGTGGGGATCTGTAGTTGCTCTGGAAGATGACTGCAGTTTGGTGTCACAAATAGCTGATGGTACTGGAATGGCATAGGATGATTGCTTTAAACGGGGGAGTGAAAGCAAATTGCTAATGATTTATTTTGTGCATCCAATCCACTGCTTAGTACGCTAGGGCAGTATATTGAGAAACTTTAGAAAGCTGCCTTGTGGTTATTTTGTCTGTTAGAAGCGTTATCATAATGATGCTGTAAGAGTGACAACAGTACTGTGAACACAAGCTATTTGTTAGAGCTTCTCAAATACTTTGCAATAGGCTTTGAACATTTCTAAGGTTTGCTACTTTCTGTTGAGAGTTATTTCTAACCTTTTTAATATTCTCTGAAGAAATTCCTAGGAAGATTGTTTTTGTGTGTTTCAACAGAGATAGACTGTATGCTTTCATGCTGAAGTTAAACGCTATTTGAGAAATGTTTACATGCTCATTCTAAAGAAAGGTTTGTGCAACATGAGTATCTCAGTGCAGAAGGACATGTTTGTAGTATTTGAAGTATTTTTTTTTATTTATCTGAATGTATTTCTCATAGGAAATTTCCTAATGTTAAAAATTAGGAGATATCAGAACAGTGTTTTGTTAAACCATCTCTAGAACTTTGGATATTTAGAGCAGAAAAGAAGAAGTAAATAAATAATTGAAAACCAAGAGTTTTCTAGTCAGACACATGACTTCTGTTCCTCTGAAGGCCTTGGCAGGTTTGTCCAGGTAATAGACAGAGGCACTTCATGTGTGTGTGATGAAAAAGTTGTTCAGGGCTTGGCTCCTTTTTGTATAAAAGTTTATTTCATTGTTTTCATTCAGAGATGACAGTGAACTTTCTGTCGTCTTCCTCTGAATAGAGATGGCCCCCATAGGCACCAGTAAAACTGGGTGCTGCACCTGCTCCCCCTCAATGAAGTGTCGTGTAGCCTGAGACAGTATTTACTTAGCTGAGAAAAAAGCTTCATGAGCATTTGCATTCTTGTCTCTTCTGTTCTTCCTAATAATGATTCTGCACATTTTGCAACCCTTGTTATCGATCGCAACCTTATATCTCTATCTTGGGAACTTGGCAGTCATCTTTCCTCCTATCTTACTGATGGGATATTAGAGGTTCATAGTTGGGAGCAGAGGCTGAGCTCCTTGCAGCGTATCTCAAAGCCCCCTTAACAGCTTGACAGAATGTAATGCCTGTGTGTGTTTAGCTTTTTTTGGTTTAGATGGAGCTACTCTTGCATACTCACTAAATTCTACAGATAAATTGATGCAACACAAACAGTATGCATGCAGCAGTTATAACTCTTCTGATGATGTATGATTTCCCATGCTGCCCGTAGGTCTAAGATACTGGCCAGCAGACGCCTATGTAAAGTGGTGCCTCTGAAGAATACTGGCATGATACAGCTTTTATCAGAGCCACTTGTCTGGCTCAAGTAGTTTAATGCCCATCTTTTAATAATAAATTCACATGTGTATAATGGTTTATTTCATTTTATAGAACAGCTAAACATAAGAAAGCTTCCTTCCCAAAATAGTGTAGGGCTGGAATAGTTAAATGTTAGTAACTCAAGCATGCGAATGAGAAAATGAATTCTTCAGTTCCTCTGCTGATGTTCATTGATCATAAATACAATTGAATTACAGTGTAATAACTATATTTCTCTTTTCAGGACATAGGGGACGCTTTTATGTGATAGAATGGATGAACAGTCGCAAGGCATGCAGGGGCCTACTGCTCCACCATTTCAGCCACAGGTATTTTTATTTTTTTTTAAAAAAACCCCAGTTAATCAAGAGCGGATGCTATTGTTTCTTCAATAGAAAAAGAGAGAAATTAGAAGACTTTATTTCTTGTGAGGACAAAGAAACTGTAAACAGATAGAATGTGTTCTGGTGATCTTGAAGTTAACTGAATATGTCCTATATTTTATAGAAAATAATTACTTTTCATTTTTACCTCCTACTGCTTCACCAGCTTTGAGGGTTTGAAGTTGGAGTGGGAGTAGGAAGCAAAGATGAAGGCAGTTGTTTTCATGAGAAATGGTGAGCTGTTAAACACTGTATGTTTCAAAATTGTGTCAGAATTACCATATTTATTTGAGTGTTACCTTCAACTTTCACTTCTTACAGCTGCTGATGGTGATACTATGTGAATTAGTGCCACTATCTGTTGAAACCAGGCAAGAGAACTTCCCAGTATCTGTAGTTTTGTTAGAAAGAAGATGCATAAGAAATGTAGTCTTTGGATATGTGTTAATGGTGTGAAACAAAGGATAAAGATTATCTGATAAATAATATTGGGATATTGCTTTTTGACATTTTTAAGAGGTAATTCTTGGACGGGAGTGCAAGATCATGTAGAGGAATACCTTAAAAATATTTGTTGCAATGACCGTTCCAAAGTAAAAGCTGGACAGTTCTTTACAAAGCAAAAACCTAAACCTAAATTTTGTAAGTTTTCTTGTTAACAGTGTAGATGATAGGGCAATTTGTACCCTTTCTTTTACAAAAACTAAAGTGAATTCTAGTTCATGAAACTTAGTAAGTTTACAATAACCAGCTTTCCTTAGCTCCAGTGTTTCTATTACAGCATTGTGATAACAAAAAAATCTGGATTTAATAGCATTTATACCAATGTGTTTATACCAATGCAAAAAAGTTAGAAATTTAAGATGAATGTATAGCTATGCATACAGATATTTTGAGGAAATACATTTGTAATCTCAAAACAAACAAAAAACAACTTAAAATTCTTATTATGAATATCATAAAGGATCCTCATTATAGTTACAGTTTTTATTTTTCTGGCTAAAGAGAAAACAGAACACAGCTGATTAAGGTTGCTGTATTTCTGGGAAGCCTTCCCATGTTTTCTGTTTGCTGACTACAAACAGGTTTCTTATTTTCTCATCTGTCTTCTGAGTATTTGAATACTTGTTTCTGATTCACAGAATCAACCTTTTGAGGGCTGTTTCGATTTTAGGAATTTTACTCTAACATACAAATTCAGTTTATGAATTCATATTAGTAAAATATGCTTCTGGTTTTACTGTTCGACGTAATATGCCTCACCTACACGTATCCAGTTTCCTCTGTGGTAAACTAAGGATGCCGAAAAGCAATACTGCTGTAATCAACTAGACAGTTTCTACAGAACAAAAAGCTGATGTTGGTCCTCACCTTTGGTTAACCATCAAGCATTTTCATAATCTATGTCTCATTATTCTTTTTTAAAATCAATTACTGTGTAAATTGCACTAAGCATGATTTTTGTGATTTGGTTTTTTCTTGAGACGAAAGGTTTTGGGTTTGTGAATCTGAGCTAGACCTGTATCAGAATATTGACTGTTTTGCATTTCAAGGGATGAAGAGTGAAGGGGAGCAAGCATGCTCTGATAGTCATATTGCCAGAGTAATATTAAAATAATCATTCAGTGATGATCTTGTCTTGTTAATCCAAATTGTTTTTCCTGTGAGCCAGATACATACTTTAATTCTTACGGATTTCTCTGCTAATGGAGCATGCTTATGGTGAAAATTAGTAATGAAAAGAGGTTACTGTACTAATTGCTGATACATTTAGGAGAAGCAAGAACTAGAACTGAAACTACAGCATGTTATAAGCAAAAGGTGAGGTAATGATTTATGAAGAATTGTGTCAGGTTTTGGTAAACCTGTGAATCTCTTCTAATGCTCTAGGTCATTATATTGTATAAATACATGCTGATGATCACAGCTAATTAAATTACGCTAATCACTGAAAATTCTTGTTGAGGAGCATGAGAATATTTAGCCAAACTGTAAAATGATTCAGTCCCAATTAGTCTGAAAACACCATTTCACAAAATCACAGAATGATTGAGGTTGGAAAGAAACTCTGGAGGTCATCAGCCCTCTGCTCAAGCAGGGTCTCCCAGAGCAGGTTTCTCAGGACCACATCCAGACTACTTTTGAGTATCTCCAAGGATGGAAACTCTACAGCCTTCCTGGGCAACCTGTGCCAGTGCCCAGTCACCCTCACAGTGAGAAAGTGTTCAGACAAAACCTCCTGTGTTTGTCTGTGCCCATTGCCTCTTGTCCTGTCACTGGCCACCACTTGAAGAGAGCCTGGCTCTCTTTTTAACACCGTCTCTTCAAGTATTTGTACACATTGAAGAGATCCCCCCTGAACCTTCTCTAGGCTGAACGTTCCCAGCACTCTCAGCCTTTCCTCATGTGACAGATGCTCTGGTGCCCTGATTTTTAATGGCCCTTTGCTGGATTCCGATATGTCTATGGATGGATGGCCCAGAAGTGGACATAGTACTCTGGGTATGGCCTCACCAGTGCTGAGTAGAGGGGAAGCATCACCTCCCTCAGCCAGCTGATAACACTGCTTCTAACGCAGCCCAGGATGCTGTTCACCATGTTTGCTGCAAGGGCGTGTTGCTGGCTGAAGTTCAGCTTGATGTCCACCAGAACCCCCAGGGTCTGGCTTGCAAAGCTGTTTTCGAGCAGCTCAGTGCCCAGCATGCGGTGATGCATGGCGTTATTTCTGCCCAGGTGCAGGGCTCTGCACTTCCCTGTGTTGAACTGCATGAGGCTCCCGTCAGCCCGTTTCTCCATCCTGTCGAGGTCCCTTTGGGTGGCAGCATGACCCTCTGGTGCATCAGCTATTCCTCAGTTATCAGCAAACTTGCTGAGGTTGCACTTTGCCCTATCATCCAGATAATTAATGAAGATGTGGAGCAGGATTGGACCCAGTATTAACTCCTGAGGTACACGGCTAGTTACTGGCCTCCTACTAGACTTTGTGTCATTAGAAGCTCATTTTCTATTTGGAATTAAGTGCCTGAAATCTCTGTCATAATCAGGTATCTACAAAGTTAAAACACTGTACTTCATTACATCACAAGGACATTTTGAAAGTGCAGATATCTAAGTATTCCCAAACCTCTTGCATATTATAAAAAGGATTATGCAAGAAGATAGAAGAATATGGATTAGTAGTCTGATACAGTAGACTTCAAATTCTAGAACTTCCTCAAGAGCAGAATGGGAGCTTTTTAGCATCTGAAGAGAGAAAAATATTGCTATCACTAGACCTGATAAACCAAAGGCAGCATTATTGTATTCCTTACTGTTTTTTTTTTTACCCTCCCCCCGCCCCCCAAGCTGAAGAACAATAGTTTATCAACTCTCTTCTTTTACAGAAGACATTGCAAATCTCTGCTCAGCATTTCTCATCGTCCTTTGTTTTCTAATTCCTCTGTTTTTCTCTCAAAATGAGGAGTCAGAGCTCTGTGCAGTATTCAGTGTGCGCACAATAGACTTAGGTAGTGAAACATTTTGTTTTCTGTTTCATTCAAATGCTTTCCATGAGGTTCAAGAAGGCCAAGTGGAAGGTCCTGCACATGAGTCGGGGCAGTCACCGGTATCAATACAGGCTGGGAGATGAAAGGATTGAGAGCAGCCTTGAGGAGAAGGACTTAGGGGTACTGGTGGATGAAAAGCTGCACATGAGTCGGCAGTGTGCACTTGCAGCCTAGAAGGCCAACTGTATCCTGAGCTGCCTCAAAAGAAGTGTGGCCAGCACATTGAGGGAGATGATTCTGCCCCTTCACTCCACTCCATGTGGAGTACTGTGTCTGGGTCTGAGGTCCTCAGACAGGAAAGACATGGACCTGTTGGATCAGTTCCAGAGGAGGGCCACAGAAATGATTTGAGGGCTGGAGCATGTCTCCTGTGAAGACAGGCTGAGAGAGTTGGGGTTGTTCAGCCTGGAGAACAGAAGGCTCCGGGCAGACCTTATTGTGGCCTTTCAGTACTTACAGGGGGCTTGTAAGAAAGCTGGGGACAGACTTTTTAGCAGGGCCTGTTGCAATAGGACAAGCGATAATGGTTTTAAGCTAAGAGGGTAGATTTAGACCAGAGAGAAGGAAGAAATTTTTTTATGATGAGGGTGGTGAAATACTGGTATGAGTTACCCAGAGAGATGGTAGGTGCTGCATCCTTAAAAATGTTCAAGGTCGGGTTGGATGGGACTCTGAGCAAGCTGATCTGGTAGAAGATGTTCCTGCTCATTGCAGAGTGGATTGAACTAGATGACATTTAAAAGTCTCTTCCAACCCAGCTATTTTGTGATTCTGTGATGTTTTGGGCTGGTTGCCTTGGATAAGTTTGAATTGTAAAGAAACTTTATTACTTCGTTATATATATTGAATAGTGAAGTTTCCTTTAGGATTTCACTGGGAACTTCTCTAAGAAAATAATTTTTCAGCTGCTGTTTCTCATCTTATAGCTGCTATTAATCTGCTCAATGTTCTCGCTCAACTTGAGAGAGCTTAGTTTTATAGGTTAAGAATCCTCATAGAAGGAACCTGGTTAAACATTTTTGAAAACATGTGGTGTGATTTCTTCAGCAGAAAAGCCTAATTAGGAAAAACTTGTCTCACTCCACTCTTAACTGCTTATTAGAATCTCTAAATTGCTGCAGTTCAACTATTTGTTTGGCTGTGTTTGAACTGAATCTGTGAATAATTAAAAAATAAACAAATTGGTTTTGAGTTGTGTGGTGTGGTTTTTTTTTTTTAAATCCAGATCAGTCTGTGACTTGGTATAGTGCACTGGCACACAGTAACACAGCAGTACTGAGGAGCTTGCAGTGGGAGAGGACAGGACCTCCTGGGAAGGCTTGC